ACCATTTCCCTTCGATTCATAAAAAAACGCCCTATTTTTGTCAAATTTGGAGAATTATCGGATTGGTCGAATTCGGAGACATGCGAGTGCTGTCGAGAACTTTCAGTTTTATTCGAGCCCTGGGCATTGGCTTTTAAAAAGAAGCATGATTTTTACTCAATTGCACCTTTTTTAGAGAAGAAGCTCAAAATGTCGAAGTGCATATATCTGTGGAAATCTTATAAAATGTAATTAAGGTAGTCAGTGTGATGGTTTCCTCGACTAACTTCTTTATATTTCAGATTAATTGTCACATTTTTTTTTCTAATCTATTCCTTCGAAACTGCATTTACTACGATAAATTGAGAGAATCTTTCAGTGGCTTGGAAGACTAGGGTCTGTACATTTTAATTATTATTTCATGTTTGAAACGACATGCTTCCAAGTCAAATGTATATATACTTTCTGGTTAGTATCTCTTATATCATTTCCAGATTTCCGAGAGTTCTGAGTTTTCGATTCTTCCGAGGTTCTCCCCGATAACGAGGTCCCTTTCCACAAGTCATACCGAAGGACTCCCATAAAAAAGTCACGGTGATCTCGCGAGGGCGAGCTACTTACAAAAGGCAGACACACTTTCCTAAAAGTTACTTTGGCCGTGGGTTAAATCAATAGCCAAGGCGAAACTCGTCAGGGCCGATTTCCAGGAGGAAAGAAATGACCGGAAACACCGAATCGCTCGTTGCGGGGTTCCGGAAATTGGAGAAATTCGAGAAATCGGCCCTGCCGAGTGCCTACTCAGAAGACTACGTAGGGTCGACATATGTATATATGTATATGTATATGTATATCGGTTCTACGCCGATCCATCGCACGCGACTTCGTAGCCGTTAATATGTACAGAGGGTCATAAATACCCCCACCGATTCGCTAACACTCGTGATTACGCCTATACAAGTCGACGAAGAGAGTCACGCCGGTCGTGAAATCTCACTTCCGGTGCGGATTGAATAAAAAAAAAGAAAAAAGATTTCCCGGACTCGCCGGGAGTCCCCTAACGAGGGGTCCTCGAAACCTAACCTCACTTCAACTCGCGGAGGACTCTACGGTGTATTTACAAGTGATATCAACACCAATAGACACGAAGAACATGATATTCCGACGCGGCGCTACAACAAAGATGGCGACCGGCCGGTCGAGACTCGGATCGGTCCTCGAGACTCTGGAAGTGCACACATACTGGAAAGACTCGAAATTCTCGTCCCGTTCTTCTAGAACTCGGGGGTTCCCTTTATCGTTAGCATTTTCTGTTCTCTTAGAGCTACGGGACCCTCGCCACGGGGTCCAAGTCTTCTCCTAGGCTCTAGACGAATTCCACCTACGGGACTACTTACACGGAGATAGTCGAAAACATCGGATAGTAGTGAAGTCTTAAGCTTAGATTGGACTTAGACTTAGAATAGCTCGGACTGGAACCGAAAGCCAGTCCTACGACTTAATCGATGGTTCTTTTAAGAGGGTTCGCAACCGTTCACCATGAAATTACCGACGGAATTGGTATCTCATTATTTTTCGAGATTAGTCCACGAAATTGACGGTGAATTTCGCGTGGACGTTTCTAGACGAGGCAAGCCGTTTGCTGACTGCACGATATAATCTATATATATATAATATAAAAGAATAACTCTTCTCGGTGCGGTAAAATATAAAACGCCGTAACGACTCAAACATGTACCGCGCGATGGACCGCTCCGCCATCTTGTTTTTCTTTACTACTTAGGAATAAGAAAAATTCCCCTAAGTTCCACCCAAATATTAGTATTTAAGTAAAGAGATGTCTTTGGGTAGATATTCACGTATCAAAGTGTCAAGCAATTCCTTGGATTAAACTCGAAGCATAGTGAATAATTCTCGGTAAATTCATCCAATGGGGAGATCATTTTTAGCCACTTTGAGAACTCCGATTTTTCGCGGCTCCGCCATACTCGTCGCTACCGATTCTCCCGTTCTCGCCCTAACGTTTCCTCGCTATCGCCACTATTGCTGTCCATTTTCTGGGCCTTTATCCGTTATCGCCCTTTTTGCCCTATAGTGTACTACTACTATGTATGTCCGATTGGGCTCGTGCCGAATTTTTGTTTCCACTTTCGGCTCGACGTACCGCCTCCACTGGAACTCCCAAAATCTGTGGGCACTGTTTCCGAAAATGCTTAGGCTTTTTTTTTTCTCTCAAGGTACGCAAATTGAAATCCTCGCACGTTTTAATCCCCCGATTTTCACTGTCGTCGATGTATTTACAGGCCGAATGGATTTAATTAGGTTGTCTAGAAAGTTATTGCGGTTTTTGCTGCTTCAAATTGTGACCCTCTGTCTTCAAATGGAGTTCTTTTCCCTCTATTTTTAAATTAAAGCGCAAACATCAGCAGTTTTGATAACGATAATTGTTTTAAATATTAACTTTTAACTTCTTTTCCCATTATGCCCATAGGTGCAGATTGTTCAGAACGAATTTAATCTTCAAGGCTCTTGTCAATGCCGAGTAACTTTTGAAATGCTGTGAACAACTGCAATTGCTTTATAGACCACTTTGAACTTGTATAAGAGAATTGCCCGCATTTGCCTTTCTTCCCTCTGCAAATAAGTAATCTAAATGAAATGGAAATGAATGTTCGAAACAATCACTGTTATCAAAATGTAGAGCGATACCTGCGCTTTGAAATGGTATATGACATGAACTTGAAACAAAAGCATCTTTATACAAAAACAAAATGTTAAGTCTTAAACATCAAAAACCACAGTAACTTTCTAGTCGATCTAACACGCCAGGGTGGTCTGTAATTGTTGGTAAATCGAGGTAATTCGCCGTTTCCTCCTTGAACTTGATTTTCACTTCACGTCGGAAGTGTTTTAATTTTAAATCGAACTTTGCGTTAATGACGGATATTAAAAAATCTGGCAATTTCTGGGTTTAGCTTGGTTACTTTGCAAATGACGTGGCATGTAACGAGACTGTAGAAAGGATTGCGTTGTTTGGTGTTAGTGTTAATTTCTCTTACCAATTAGGATAAAATCATGTACTCATATTAAAAAGAAAAAGAATTACAATCCATTCAATAACTAAGAACTCTGCTTTTGAGCAAGTTCTATAGCCTGGCAATTTATCTCCTGACCTCATGGCACAATTAGCAATCACCAAAATAATTAGAGCGTGATCAAATTTTCATACACTCGTGTTAATTAACGTCCGATGCAGTGCTTTTGAATCAGCGCTTCAAAATTCCCTTCGCTGTGTTAATGTGTAATTCTCTTTCCATCATCGCCAAATCGAAACTCTAATTGGTCTCTTCGGCTTTGAAATTTGTAAATCTCGCGGCTCGATTAGTCCTCGCGAAATGATTCGCAAATACCGAGATCAATTGTACGACAATTAGACTATTTTCTCAAGGGTCGGTCTAGTTGGAAGTCTCACAATTAATAATACAGAGACATTGGCAGTGGTGACAAGAAACGCATAAACGAGGGAATTCACTACTAATATAAAATTTAGAAACGACGTAAATTGTATACGGTAACGAATTCTGTCTAAATAGTAATTTATTCCGAAAATCCTTACATCTACATTTTTAGCCGTTGATAATATAATAAGGTAAACAGTGCGATTGTTTTTTTTTTGTTTTTCTTTTCAGTGACTGTCTCGCGGTTTATAAGTAAATGTTACATTCATGTACGGAGACTTAGTTTTTGGCAAACCTTTCAATTTCGTGAAGTTTCATTGAGGTATACGAACGAGAATAATGAGAAATGCCTGAGGAGTGGTGCTACTAATTGCTAATTACGACGACGACGACATTATCGACCGGTATAGTTGTTAAAGTACTTGTATAAATTCTGTTTTGGCAAACGGGATCATTCGAAATGCAATTGCAAGTCTATAGTGGACCTATATCATTTCGATGCACTGAAATGCACGTATCGATCGACCTCTCGACATACGCTAATATTACATTTATCGACGTTTCCTCGGGAAATTAGACCACTCGAAGCACAATTATAAAGCGAGAACCATTTAAAATGCGTACTGCGTTTATAAACGTATCTTAGGACAAATATTTCGAGGAGTGTCGGCACTATTAATTACAGCAACGACGTACTGGTGTACTATATTCATTCATATATATCCATTCTTATATACCCATCATGTGTGTGTATATATATTTATAGATCGTATCTCTATATTTATATATATTCATTTATTTATTTGTGTTGTAAACTTGATATATTAAGGCCTCTTAGTTACTAACGACAGGTAATCACACTTTACCATTACCGTTAAAAAATGCCTACCGACACCAAAGCGACATATCTTTTGCTCGTTACACACGTTTGCGGATATTTTTTCGTTTTTCCTTTTTGGTTCATGCGTGCCACCAAAACTAGTTAAGAATCAGGGATACAGAAAAGATTTAACGCTACTCTCGTGAATTACAATCGAGTATATCATTCGCGTGCACTTGACAGATTCTGAATTGCTTATTTACAGATTTATTTACAGATTAAGCGGGTTCAATCACGTGGTTCGTAGCGAATAACAAAGTTGCTCCTTTAATCGGACGAAAGAAGATAAATTGAATTTCGGTTATTTACTTTATTAGAAATATTATGACCGAGTGGAAATATAAAAATGGATCGCATGGAAAAGATCAATGATCATTATTGAAAAAAAAAGGAAATTAAAAATCGAAAAGTAAAATAAACGGAAAGTACATGCTTAGTGTCACAGGTCCCTCGTGGTTCTTTTTGGTAAAATAATGCTAATCTGGTTGGAACGGATTTAATGATTCAATAACTTTTTAACCCGTTCAGGTTAAAGGTGTTTAAAAAATGAGTATATGTCACCGTAACTTATTAACTGAAAAATTGGCCGATGGTTATGAAAGGATTAAAAAGCTGAACTGCCGATGAAAGAAATTAATCTAAACGGAAGAGGAGTAATGCTAAAATAAATACGAACAAAGTCATGGTTCAGGAAGAATTGCATTTATTATTCGGAAGAACAAAATTGGGAAATTGGAAGGAACTTAAAGTAAAAAGGGGCTTAATCATGCTCTCCGAGGTACCGATGTTTAGCCAGTCAAATCGGAGGCCGAAACATACATTTGTATATGCGTATGTATATATGTACATGAGTCGCGTATTTTGCAGCAACTTTATTGTTCGGTGCATCATGTGCCAGCCACTTTCCATAATGAAGGCATATTCGCTATTGTAGAGTATATTGTTTCTTGTTTAATTAATTATTTACTCGTATGTATAAGATAGCTATCTTACGATTTATGCATTATCACCTAGCCTCGGTATCATCGTTTACATCGCGTATGTATGTCAGGTTACTTCACTGAATCTTCCTTTACGAATGATTTTACAAAACGACTGTGAATCTTTGACATTCGAACGACTACGAACATTTACGTGTGTCGCGTATATATATGTATACTCCTCATATGAACGTAAATGTGTTCGTGAATGAATGTGCGTGAAAGAAAAAGAATGGTTTCGCAGTCGTACATATGTTCAGGTGTGCATCACGGTGGTTCAAAATGGCTCGACCTCGTTTTGCACTCTTGTCGATATTAAATTCGTTTAAATAATTTTTCTCTCCCATTACAATAAGGGAATTCAACGTAAGAGTGCTTAGAGGTCTTTCGAAATACTTCCAATTAACAGTACCCTTAATACACTGTTACTGCTGTATTAACATTGTATATCCTTTACAAAAGGTCATTGCTAGAAAAGTGCAACATGAATACCTACAACTTCCTTTTTAAAGATTTTCCGTGACCCGCCTTTGAAATAAATTTCCGTAAAGACTTGGATATGGAATAGTACCCTTCTTTTGAAAATTAAGTAAGCTAGTTCTGTGCTTTTGTACATTTTGCGAATTTAAGAAATAACGTTCCGTTTACCGTACCCCACTAACAATCGTACAGAGAAATTGAAATATTTCGACGACCTCTAAGGATTTTTATATCAATCCTACTCTCCCACGATTTATTTTATACGTGTCTTTTGTTTTCCTAAGCTTACGGCAATTCAAAAGAAAAGAAATTTCCATTTTGGACCACACCACTGTGTACACGCACGATTAAATGCCCAACTGACAGCTACAATGAGCCTACGTATATACAAAATGTTGCATTAACTTTTAACTACTTTTAATAGGAAACATTAAAGTGTTCACTCTGCTTGCTCGCCTCTTAACAATTACAAGTACAATTTGCAAAACTTCGTGCAATGGCCTTAAGGCTCCGAACATGCGGCCCTGCAAAACTGCATCGTGTGCGAGCCTCGTTATACATAATAGATCGATAATACAACAAAAAAAATGCAAAGAAATCCACTTCCTCCCACGAGCACTTGTCACGAGTTTGCCTCGTAGGACTGACATTGTTTGACTTTTCCTTTCGTTTTGGAAATCGATCCAATTTTTGCGAATCAGCGTATCGCTTTTTCTCAGCTCTTAACGTGAACGTTAAAGTCCCAAAACTAAGTCGTCTCGTATCGACCATCAATTCTTATTAGCTTCCGGACAAGAAGAAATCATTTGGGATAACTCGATAATGAAATTCCGTACAAGCGAAGGAATGAATAACGAAAGAAAAAGAAACAGCAGAAAAAGAAGGAAAATAATAATACCGATTCTCCCAAAATTTCTTCGAGGTTAATCGATACGAAAACACGTATAATTATCGCAATTGGCAGCTATCGCTGGTTATTAACAGCGCCAATCTAAAGGGCGATGGACAAAGCTTCCGCTACTTTTGAGCCGTTTCGTTTTTGACTTTCCTCTTGAAAGTGGAGCAGACTTCTTTTCAATTTCAGCTTCCAGATGCGACAGCTATTGTCGGGGTCAAAGCAAACGGTTCGAGGTAGCTTTTTACAAGCTGATCGTTTATTTACATACGCTTTTCCATGGTCGCCCTCTATTACCGACGTCGTCCCTTTCTCTTACCTAATTCTTTTTTTTTTCTTTTTCTACGACACAGTACAAACAATAAAAGTATAGCTTAATCCTTGTATTGCGAGACAAACCATTCCGCGTTTCTTGATTGGTTTCTTTTTTTTTTTCCTTTCCCACCTTCGACTTTTCCTACGAGTAAATTAATCCTGACAGGTTTCAACGATCGCGCAAATCTTCCTCTCGTGCCAAATGACGGAGAAGAATGTTATATTTAATACTAATTAAGTATTGTGGACAGATACCCTTCTGGTTTTCTTCCTGAAAAACATTTCACCGTTTGCAACGATATCTCATTGAAGTACTGAGGTTTCATGATGCCGACAACCTCTTTCGGACTTTTATCTTTTAAGCACCCGAAAAATGAGAGCTGTTAAAATGATACGGAAAATAAAACGCCGATATGCAGGAATAGGACATGACCCGTGCAGGTTGGCATTACTGCAATTATATCGAAAATGTACAAATTTATATTCGGGAATATAATTTGATACATCTTCGGCGTGTATGTAAAAAATGTTGCCGTAGAAAGAACATGCGTCACGAAATTAATCCTCAAGCTTGGGGAAATGTTTTGGTGGAAAGTTTATGCATGAATGATTTACTCTACATGTAAAAATGTTTATCTATAATGGATGCAGATTCTCCTTGTCAATTATTAAAATTCATCCCGACTGTTGGCAAAGTGGCAAGTTGGCAACGAACATTAAAAATTATGCCGCTGCTTTGTTTATCATGTTAATGTATTTTACATGTTGTATCACGTCGACTGGACACAATTGTAACCCACTTTGAAAATATTACATTCTTGTCAAGTACAATGCTCGTGAGTTACCTTCTGAAATCAGGAGTTATCGTAAAACACGAATCAGGACTATTCTACTCTTAAACGGGACGTTACTTGTAAGAAAGAAAACGGTCCACGAACTTGTACACATGTAGAGTCGATGAATTCAAGATTATTTACAATGAGCGATGAATTATTTACAAATGTCGATGATAAGCACTCGGCTCAACAGGAGGAAATGGGAGATGTACTTTGTCAACTTTAAATCTCCATTTCAGGCTACATATGGTATCGTGCTCGAGAAAATAACGTAGTATCCCAGTTATTAACACTATAGGTAAATAACTTAATGATTTCAAAGCTTCTAAGGCAATGCTAAAACCAAAAACGAAATAATTTCTAACACGAAACTTTAGACGACTATATGAAAATATGAAATAATGTGTAACTTCACATCTCCGTCAGAAATTTTCTTGACATTAGAAAATGAGAAATTTGAACGGTATTGCGATAAATAACAAAATCGGAATGTCAGAACATAGTAGTGCTCGGCAGAAGAAGTAAACCTAATTGTAAGCTGAGAGATCAGGTACACTTTTCGCGTTACTTAACTGCTAGTTAAGTAAAAACTCTCTTTTGTATATGCGCGACATATTTCGACTAAATACGTCATTTTACAATTGCGCGATATTTGCCAGAATAGTGCCAACGCTGGGATATCCACGTTAATTCGTCATGAAAGTAATATTAATTACTCCGTAATTCAAATACTGAATAATCACCAAGTGCTCGTTATACCAGTACATGTGTACATTACAACACTTATAATAGCATCTAATTTACAAATGCTACCGTACCCCTCTGTCGGTAGATTAAGACCGTAATTATTAATTGTCGATGTCGTATCATAATGTACCCGCACTTTTCTACGCTATTGCAATCAAGCAGAGAATAATTATCCGTGCATTAAATTACGAATGTAATTAGTGTTGTTTTCTACAGCCTTTCGCTAATATAATAGTAGATCTCGGTACCATCTCTCGATTTCCTCCATTGTCTACCCTAACGTATTCCTTCCTTTACCGAGGCGCTCGGTGGAAGTACTTATCGAGCTATACTTTCCTTACGACACTGCGCTACAAAGGCTGCTATTACCACTACTTTGTTGCATGTAAAAAAGGGAACACGTATATCTTTGCAAAATGGAGAATTTAATATGGTCGTTAATCTAAGTCTAGGCCCTAATATGTGGATGCATCTACGTTCATCTTAGCCTAAATCACACTCAGAACGTAATATTATGTACCGTGCGAGCACCGCGTCCGTGCATGACGGAGATCACGCGATTTTAATCGAAATTGCAAGTTGCTCATTAACCAAGCGTGGACGTTAAAACTCGTCCATCAGGATGGGAGCGACATACTCGTCAAGATTTACGCAATTATGCGTAATTCTTAGGCTTCCGAACGAATCCAAATTCACAGGCTTTCCTTGGAAACACGAGGCTTCGAGTCATACGTGTACTGTCGAAATCAATTAATCCACGCCTTCAATTTCATTGAAATGGATATCAAATAGGAAAAAAAGATCGTTTCGATTGAGTCTAATTCAAGTTGATTTCCCTTGCAATTCCATTGTTCACGAGTGTGTGTAGCATGGCCAATGAACTCGATAAATAAATATAAATATGTACAATTGAATGAAGCTAATGAAAACAGACTGAAGGATTTTCAGAAAGATCTAAATTAACAAAATGTAATATACCGAGGTACACGAAACGTCATTGTTTCGGAAGTCCCAGTTAATGTTTTAGGGATCGGTAGAGAAGTTATTAAGAACCGTAGTTCCTAAAAGTTATTAAATTATGCCTTCTTCATCTTAAATTATGCCTAAATACAGTGCGAGTCCTATGGGAGGTTTCGCATCGTCTTTAAACAATTTATCGAAAATCATGCGTCTTTGTCGAACGAAAGCATAAGTTGGACAGACAGATGTTGATAATAGCTTTCATAGATACTCGTATTGCTTTCAAAATCGAACTCTAAATCCTCGTGTTTCTCGCGTGAATCCCCGAGAGCTTTCGACACGCGTCAGAAAATAAACGGGGCGCCAGAAATATTTACAAGAGCAACTTAGTCGGCCCCGCACTTCCTGTACGTCTATCTATCTACCTAGCTATCCATCTATCTATCTATCGCTCTATCTACCTAGCTCCCTCGCCACAAATCTCAGTTCCATTGACCTCCTCTCCCTATCTTTGTCTATTCCCTATATCTTAACGTCATTGCATTCGTACGATTCTTCGGCAGTGATGCTGGAATTACAGTTTCCACGCGACGATCTTTGCTATCTATCAGCTGATTTGTGTCAGGAATTGCATCTTCGTAAACCTAAGCCTTCCGCTTTAAAATAACGAGAAACCTGTTGCAGGAATTATGTCAATGTCATTTCCAGATTCCTTACACGTTGTACGAACAGCGCTACTATTTCTTTTTTTTTTTTTTTTAAGAACTGACGACACTTTGAAAACCGTTGCGCACTTTTTACAATAACAAAAAGCCCAAAAACACAAAATATCACAATTTTAGATCCGCACGTGTCGACAAAATCGAATATGATTCAGTTTCACTGAATCATGAAATTTTATAAATTCCACTCTTAGGAAAAGCTCCTAAAATCTGAATCTTGACATTTTCATTTTGATCTTTTTTTTATGGGAAAAATAATTGAAGCACGAAAATTTAATTCGGGGGTATTCATGCAATTCTTTTACTTCTTTCGCGAATGATTTTAATTTATGGTTCGCGAGTTTGATTAAACGTTTCAGGAGTTGACAGCTGAGGTTTCATGTCATTTTAAAGAGATAGGACGCCATCTTTGATATATCGGGCCCACGTGGCAACGTACACAGCTGTCAGATAACAATGACGATGTCAAAAAGTACTGCGTTAACCCTTTCGCTACTCCAGGTGATTGCGATCGTTAATCACTAAAAATTGTTCATATATAATGGGCAAATATAGTTGCTCGCCGTGAAATGATCGTAGTATACCACGAGCGACTATAATCCACCATACGAGTCTTAAAACAATTGGCACTCATTTAATGAGATATCAATGATTTCAAATAAACAAGGGTATGTCCTCCAAAGCCTGGAAGTTTATCTTTACGAGTCTTCGGAATAATCGTTTAAGGAGTAAGATAGTAAACCGAATGCCATACATTATTAATACGGTAAATGTTCACTTATGGTACATAACCCCATTCATGGATGTCAAACTGAATGCCAATTTCGTCGTAGCAAAAAGGTTAAACGCAGCCACGTTACGGTTCGTCTCTCTCTCCCTCTGTCTCTCTGTTCATAAATTGACTGAACTTTGAAATGTTCGGCAGAATCTGCAAACTTTCGAATTCTTCTTCAATCGACGTTCAACCTCTCTGTCCGGCTAATCGAATAACGCAAGATTTGCAACTAGCTGCTGTAAGAAACGGCAGACCGTCACGTAATATCGGTCCATAAACCCAAATTCGATGATCAAACGAAATCAGGGGCATTCCTTTGCAGGACGTTTGAAAATTCTTAACTTTGCCGCAAATGTCTGAGTAGCCGAGGTCCTCGATCGAACCGCCAACAGCCCTGCAGCCGCCAAAATGTCGAAGATCCCAACAGATCGCGTCCATATTCACGTCCACGGTTTTCTCACGCGAGTGATCGTTCTTCTTCTCGGAGGCTATTATCCGATTGATATCTCGCGATCGGATCAGCATTAGTCCGGTATCGAAAATTTCCGGCGCAAGCGGATCCGCGGAAACGTTCGAGACCAAGAATCGCTATTCTGTTCCCGCCCTCTGCTATTCCCCCATCCATCGTGGCCAATAATCCAGAGACCTCGCGTGTACACGTTACACCTAACAAATAATACCCTACTCTCCTAAAGACGTGTATGCATACATATGTATAATAATGTGTAATATGCATTAATATGTATAGTCAGTTAAATGCCAGTTGTTCCGGATGAGCGAATGAGTGATCGAAAAGAAAGAACGAAGGAAAAATCTGAAAGTGGCCCGTCCCTCCACTGATCAGCTCCCGTGTTACAATTAATATTACAATCGCTCCTTCCCTCTCGTCCTCGCCCCGTCTTTTTACCTCGAGCACGAATCCGCGTCTCCCCCCAATCTTTGTCGGTTCTGCATTTACATTCGCCCAGCTCTCACACGTCTTCGCGCCCAACTCGTGTCTCTCCCTCTTTTCCTGAATTCCCCCTACGTAATCGCCTAATCTGTATAATTATTACTAGCCTTAAGTAATTATTAATTTAACTAAGTGTCCCCTAGGTGTATATCAGCTAGTTGAAAATTGAGGCTACGTTGCTCGGCAGTCTATTGTCTCTCTTGGCTCTTCGCAGGGTTCCAGTTTGACCTTCCGACCCTTTCGTCTTCTTCTCTCTTTCGTTTTTCCCGAAGTCCTCCCGAAATCGGCCGACGATTTTTCACCTCGCCGTGGCCGACGGCGATGACCAGAGAAATTGTCGGCGCCGATTTCCATCTGGACTTTGGAGACCTCATTCCCATTGATGGGGAGATGGTGGCAGTTCCGAGGGATGCGCTACCGTGGAGCTGGAATTAGCCAAAACTCACATTAATTTTCACGATCCACGGTATTATCGAAATGGGTTAAGAAGCGATCTAATAGCGGTTTCATGGCGAAAAATCGAGTGAAAAGCAGACCAGCTACCCGAATAAAAAAAAATCCGTTTCTCGCCGTGAGACCGACAAAAATTCAAGCGTGTTTCGGGAATTCGCGATGCCAGGCATTGCGAATCCCATCATCCGAAAAGGGAAACTCGTAGGATTCCAGCATTTCGGATGGACGAAAAAGACGGAAACCGAGAGAGATAAATGTCAAAATCAGCTGCCGCGAATGAGCGAGGAGGATTTAATTGGATTTTTCATCGTCCCGATGTGACTAAACAAACTGTCGAATATTTCTTTAAATTCCACCGTGGACGAATCATTCAGCAGAGTTCATTTAGCATGTTTCCTCGATTATTAGTTGGTTATAAAATATCCTCGAACTCAGGTAATTGGTGAAATAATTCTGTACGAGTCGAAATTTCGAACGTCAATTCAATAAGCACTGGTGGAATAAAAATGACTAACGTGAGATTACCGAGAGAAAAAGTAACGTTTAAAGTCATATTCGTGTGGCAACTTTACATCATAGTCGAGAAAGAAATTTCACTGAAATGTACTTTCAATGCAAATGGTGAAAAATATTTCGCTGCATTCCAGGAAACAATCTTTTCCGCAACGGTGAACTGTTGATTTTGCAAATCCGATGGATTTTATTTATCTCCCTTGGACCCGTCATTTTAATTGCTATGATCAAATAAGAACAAGAATCATCTGATTTCCATGCAGCTGTCAGCATGCGTGACAGCCGGCCACTCTCTCTTTTTATTTAAAAATTCATTATACCTCGTTTAAGACATTTCCTATCGTCAAACGTACGCGTGCATTGCAATTACGATGCGCCTTGCTTTGCCAAGATGAAATACTACAAAGTGATATAAAAAAAAAAAATGGATACGCATAATTCCAAGACAATTCCGAGCAGACCGATACATAAACTCGTATAATTCTTCTGGACCGTTAAATAAATAATATACTCATATACTTCTTCTTCGCAGGCACAATCATAGAAAATATCCTCCAATGCCAACATAACAGTTGCACAATGTAAACGTAATTTCTTTCCTCATATCAGCGAAATAGGAACTTAAATTAGCTAATTAAAATCCCCGTTTCATAAATAATTCATCGCGGATTTTTTTTTTTTTTTTTTTTAGAAAAACTCTTACATCCTGTTTTCCAGTTGGATTTCCAAAGCGGATATACCGCATTGAATAAACAATTTCGCGCGAAACAATCCCCGTGGAAACGTATCCTCGGTCGAGGTTTGCTGGAAACTCCGGCAGGAAATGCAGGCACCTTTCCATTTTTACCGTGAGCTCTCGATTGTTATTCTAATTAACCGTCCTCGATCCACTTTCTAATTTCCACCCAGTGTGAACGTCGACCCGACACCGTGGAAAAAGTGCCGCGCAAAGGAAATCCGTATAAAAGAAAAACCCGCTGGAAAAATCCATTCTGAAGAAACGACCAAAACTCCTCCCCGATCCCTTCAAAAGTTCAGCCACTCCGCTCTTACGTTAATTAATTATAAAAAAGAAACCTCACCTAGACATGCGTGGAAATAATTTATAAACTATCCCTATTCCTCGGATAAAACCAAGGGCTACCAAAATGAAATTCTCCGGGCAGCTATAATCCTGATGTTTCAAATAAATCCTATATTTAAGAATTAATAAAAACCATGAATATTCTTTATAAGATTTGACAAGATACTGAACAGGAGTCCTAATGTTGGAAATTAAATCGCGCAATTTTATCTTCCGCTTAGCCTGATTACGTCAAAACGTGTGCGTAAGGTGGCAACGTTAATGGAGTCAAACTCGAGGCAAAGAAGTCGATTATCATAATTACTTGGCAAAGCAATTCGAGTTATGACGCCTACGCAAAAGAGTCAACTAACTACGGGACCAGGGATCGGGTTCTGGGATGTTTATTGGTATTTAGTATCGACCTAAATTGGATTACTAGAGGGATGATTACAACTGATAGGTGACGGATCGAAAGTTTCTTTTTTTTTCTTTTTTCTTTGTGGGGGGGGGGCGACTATGGAGTATCTCATCAGAGCCTAGGTTGAGGTAGGTCTTTTTTAGGTTCGGGGCTCTCGTCTTTTGCACATTAAACACATCCAGTACCTCCACGAGTACGTCGATGCTGCGGCACAAGTAACGACTGAAGGCTGCATGGTTGATCAGGCCTTCTTAGATAATCATATCAATTAAGACGGTTAAAAGCTCTTAATCAAAGAAAACTCGAACGTGTACAAACGAACGCTACGAGCGAGTCTTCTGCGACGTGATCTGTGCTGCTTTCCAGGCCAATTGTGCTTCGAAATGTCATAATCCAGGAAATCAGAGATTGGCGGAAATTACGGGAAAAATCGACACCGCGCGGATGCCGGAAAAGTTAAGTTCCGGAAAAGCACCGTCTACGGCGACTCGGAAGTTCCTTTTCCCGCGAGAAGTCGTATCGCTTACTCCGCGAGAGAAAATTCCCTCCTCTTTAGAGAAAAGTGGCGACACCGAAGCGTAGAAAGAAAAAAAAAAGAAAAAAAAAATAAAGAATTTAGAAAGTCCACGTATGGTTTCCGGTATTCGAGACCTCAGAGGGCAGCAAAAGGGCGGTATTATATAAAATGCGAAAAATGCCTTACTGGGAGATGCACGTCAAGCCTCGACTCGTAGCGATACATCCTTGCGATGTTTCCGAGCAAGGCTAGAAAGACAAGGAACGACATTAACGAAAGTCAAATAAACAGTTGAAACAGACAGAGGTAGAAATAGAGGTGGAGACAGAAATAGAATCGTAGAGAGGGACTCGGGCAGGGAGAGAAAGAGAGAGGTAGGGAGCGAGACAAAGAGGGAGAAATTGAAGACAAGAGAGAGAGAGAGAGAGAGATGTAAAAAAGTTGTAAAAGGTCAGTACCTCCGCGAGCGAGGTCGTGCCGGACTATAGCTGATTCTCGTGTCATTCGTTCATTCAGGAGGAGACGTAACGATCGGTAGTAGTAGTGGTAGTAGTAGTAGTAGTAGACGATAGTAGTAGTAGTCGATAGTGGTAGCTGACAGTGGTACATAGCCGAATCGGTAGTGGTAATGTGTAGGTATACGCGGCGCACGATGCTGGATTGGCGGATGGCTTGCTCTAACTTGACGGCAAATAAGCAAGACAAGTCAACATCAGTTAACGTACAGACACTCTTTTCGCTCCCCCAGTTTCACCCCGCGACTGGGCGGATTCTTCTAACGATCGATCGATCACGATCGGTCCTGGCAAATTAATAAATTTTAACATTGGCCCTGGCGAACGAGCTCGGGAAAGGGGAAAGAGCCTTCCCGGTCCAGGTGAATCGATCCTTTTGATACCGAGGACAATGTCAGGATTTATTACCGCCAAGTAGGACTTGGTTTACGACCTCTTACGGCCGTTGACCCTTCTGATAATATCCAGGAGGATTCCTAGTCGATAGTTATTGGCTACGATAAATATTGCCCCATTTGCAACAATAGCGTATATATACGCTTAGTTTTCCTGGTCACTATCACGGGAACGTATATATACGCTCAATTTTACTGGTCACTATCATTCAGCCTGAAATTTTGGTGATAAGGACCCTCTTTTTCATACTTCCTTACTATGCAAATGGGTTAAGGCTGCTTGTGTAAAGAGATGCGCTTCGTTCTAATGAAACAGACATTTTATTTCTTGAGCGCGAATATACCCTGAAACGTTGTTTATTGTCGCATTGGCTCGAAAGACGAATGTATTGTAAATGTTTCACTTATTTAGATTACGGTAAATATTACCCCATTTGCATCATTAGCGTATATATACGCTCAGTTTTCCTGGCCACTATCACGGGAGCGTATATATACGCTCAATTTTACTGGTCACTATCATTCAGCCTGAAATTTTGGTGGTAAGGACCCTCTTTTTCATACTTCCTTACTATGCAAATGGTTTAAGGTTGCTTGTGTAAAGAGATGCGTTTCGTTCTAATGAAGCAGACATTTTATTTCTTGAGCGCGAATATACCCTGAAACGTTTATTGTCGCATTGGCTCGAAGGACGAATGTATTGTAAATGTTTCATTTATTTAGAATGTTGAAGAGAGAGAGCGGAAAGGGATTTTGACACTCTGGCATCCGCCTCGATTAGATAGAGTTGTCTTCCTCATTTTGCAAACGGAAGCGAGGTGGTTAATTGAGGTCGGAAACGGGTACTCTTTTCTCTCCTTGAAGCCTATCGACAGGGCCAATTATTTTAACGATCGACTTATTGAACACACCCCCATATTAGATTCATTATACCTGGGCGGATGAGGTAAGAAGGGCTTAGAGTAACCATAAGAACACATCTTCAAAATCGTCAAAATATTCACAGAGCCAATTGCGAAAGATATTAAAAGTCAAGTGTAATTATCAACGAATCCTAATTAGAGGGTCGGAGACATTGTTTCAACCCTTTGACGGCCAGATCACATTCAGCGTTTCCCACTTGAAAGAAGAGATCACAAATAACTAAATAGATATCCTGAGAACAAGGTGCAGCATTCCTATCTCATGTCGCCTTATAATTTTAAACATTTTCCCCGCAGCTCCGACCATGATATACAAATACCAAGAAATTCATTTGTCCTACAATTCACATAAAATATTTATGTCATCAATTGCACGGCGGCCACAGAGGTCGAAATCTACATTCCTTGACAATTACCACCCTTCGGAGCCCTTAGAAATATTTTCAGAGTTCCGAAAACACATTTCGACTGACAGAGGGTCGCGACAAAATGGAGGAACGGCATTTGGAGATTTTCTCTTTTGGGGGGGCTTTAAACGCCATTTGGTCAACGGGAACGGGCGGTGGTTGATCAAGGTTTTCATTTTAGCGTTATTTGTCTTTAGAATGTGAGGCTACAGATTCGGGAAGCTCGGGGAAGGAGATGACAAACGGGGGAGATTTCGCCCTCTTCTCCGTCTCGGAAGCGTGGCGGTATTGGAGCGAGTGGATGGTCGATTTTTACTGTTCGTCTTTTCGACTGGCATTCATATACGTAAACGTCCTAAAAAACAGACTCTTACCTTGCGAAACTCTTGAACGCCGCGGACTGCGGGTTTATACAGAGTGGTACTCGCGACGTGTTCAGCTGCTCCGCGATAAACTTGTGCATTTCCTCTGAAACAAGCCAACGACAAAGGGGGATGAAAACTCTCGTCGACGAACCTCCAAGCGTGCACGTGGCAATAAAAAAGAAATAAAACGGTCCCCTACGTTGAGCGAACAATTTACTTTCTGGGTGAAAGTAATTACTCCAGTCGATCTAAATGTTTCTTCCTAAGGAAACTTTTTGATCCCAGTAAAATTGAATTCGTAAGAATCACCAGTCTTGCGACTCAAATGATGGGAAGCTGTTATCGAGATGAAATGATTTTACGAAAAGAAATTCATGTACCAAAAATTGGTCAATACTTAATGAGACGATTAATTAGTTATATCACATTTTAGATAGAATTCAAACAATTTAGTACTTGATATTTCTGTTAAATTCCAGTTTGTTACAAGAATATTATCAGTCCCTTCAAAGTCTATCACTCCTTGAGGTGAATCAACTTTTCATTTTAACACGTTTATATATAAAAAATGTATACGTTGGCAGCAAACGATGTGACAATTGAGGAAGTCATGAAAGTTAGGAAATCTTACGATTTACTTACGTTTTAAAATCTAACGATATTTCTGAAATTAATACATACCATTACGTACGTCAAATCCCGTAACGAACATTTCGGTGCGTACGTACAAACGAATAGACAACGGCTCTATAGTAAAGCGGGACGATATACATAATTCATTTTTATTCTAACCTAGTCTATGATTCTATCTTAGATTTATTATATCTAATTATCTAAGATTTTATATCGATGCGTCGAAAGTTACCTTTGACTTGCTGTACAGTGGTGAGCTTTCGTTCCCAAAGGTCGTCAAAGGGTTGCGACGTGACCGGCTCGAAGTCGCCGGTGTATTGACGCATTCCTGCACTCGTAGTGTAACAACACGTGCACATGCACGAGTGATATCTCAGTCTTCCTTCGTCGAGATAAGGATGAGCCAAGGCGTCCACCACGGTGATTCTCTTATCCTGCGGGAAAAAAGAAATCACAATCATTCCTCATTTGTACTTGAATCGTCGTGAACTTAATCTCTTAAGAATATATTAAAAGTGCCATTATATACATATACATATTTATATATGCTTATATTTATATATTGAGCGCGAATATACCCTGAAACGTTGTTTATTGTCGCATTGGCTCGAAAGACGAATGTATTGTAAATGTTTCACTTATTTAGATTACGGTAAATATTACCCCATTTGCATCGTTAGCGTATATATACGCTTAGTTTTCCTGGTCACTATCACGGGAGCGTATATATACGCTCAATTTTACTGGTCACTATCATTCAGCCTGAAATTTTGGTGATAAGGACCCTCTTTTTCAAACTTCCTTACCGTGCAAATGGGTTAAGGCTGCTTGTGTAAAGAGATGCGCTTCGTTCTAATGAAACAGACATTTTACTTCTTGAGCGCGAATATACCCTGAAACGTTGTTTATTGTCGCATTGGCTCGAAAGACGAATGTATTGTAAATGTTTCACTTATTTAGATTACGGTAAATATTACCCCATTTGCATCGTTANATCTAACGATATTTCTGAAATTAATACATACCATTACGTACGTCAAATCCCGTAACGAACATTTCGGTGCGTACGTACAAACGAATAGACAACGGCTCTATAGTAAAGCGGGACGATATACATAATTCATTTTTATTCTAACCTAGTCTATGATTCTATCTTAGATTTATTATATCTAATTATCTAAGATTTTATATCGATGCGTCGAAAGTTACCTTTGACTTGCTGTACAGTGGTGAGCTTTCGTTCCCAAAGGTCGTCAAAGGGTTGCGACGTGACCGGCTCGAAGTCGCCGGTGTATTGACGCATTCCTGCACTCGTAGTGTAACAACACGTGCACATGCACGAGTGATATCTCAGTCTTCCTTCGTCGAGATAAGGATGAGCCAAGGCGTCCACCACGGTGATTCTCTTATCCTGCGGGAAAAAAGAAATCACAATCATTCCTCATTTGTACTTGAATCGTCGTGAACTTAATCTCTTAAGAATATATTAAAAGTGCCATTATATACATATACATATTTATATATGCTTATATTTATATATATAACGTTAAAATATTTATAAAACTTTTCCCCAAACTGAATGCACCGAATCATTTGAAACTTCAGTAAGTGATTATGAAGGTCCTAAGGAAGAACGCGAGGCTCGTGAAATTTCAGTTTTCTCACAAAATGTGATTTTGGTTCTGCTCAAGGCTAAATGAAGGAACTTTTTTTTGAAAAATGAAATTTCACGAATCTTCATAATCACGTGTTGAAGTTTTAAAGGATTTGGTGCACTCAGTTTAGAGAAAAGTTTTATAAATTTTTTTACGTTATATATATATAATTATATATTATATATTATTTCTATTTATGTACATAGAATGACGCTTTCTTATCATCTTAAGGAGATATGAAAGTGGCAAATGAGAGGTCAATTGTTCGTCAAAGTATTCTCTAAATTGGGAGTACCGATTTGTTTTAAATTTTACCCTACGTATAAGGAGACCCTAAGGTCGGTCCTGGAGCTGGCAAAATTTCATTTTTTATAAAAATTGTTGAAAATATCTATAAACAAATTTTCATCAAATTGAAAGTTTATAGGTGTCAGGACGTTTATAGCCTCCATATTCACCTAGTAAAATTTGAAACGATTCGATACACCCAGTTCGAAGAAAAGTTTCATGAACGAGACCTCTTTGACGCCGGTTTCACATCGCCTTAAGGTGGCTACGCACGTAACGATAACTCGTATCGATTTGTAATCTGTGCAGTTAAATCTATTTTTATAGCGTTCACCGTCATCCATACGTCGGTTAAATCTGCACAGATAGGTTTGTAACAATTTATCGTTACCGTATAGCCACCTTTGGTATTATTTCTACGAACATTATTAGAAATTTGGAAAAATTCTCAACATTTGTAAACAAAAACATGCTTATAATTTACCCACGAAGGAGCCTCTTTATAGCTGGGTATTATATATTTAATTAACTGAGAAGAATAGTCTCTAGAGAGTTATGTAATTCATCTCAGACAATTCTCCACCTTTTAAGAATCTACGAAGAACATCAAGACAAAATTATTGAGTACCCTCGAAGTTGATAACTAAATCCCATGAATTCATATTTCATAGATAAAAAAGAGTTGCGAATGAAGAGATCCCCACGCTGATAAAAATCGGTGTAAATTTACGTACATTTTTTAACACCTCATAACAGAAGTTTCCCATAGAAAAACGTAAAATGGAAAAATAACGAACTACAAAACATATAAATACCTGTAACATTGTAAATTTACCATATTAGTGGATTTACACTGGAATTCAATGTAATATTACATTATAATTTTCTTCGTCATAACTGCGACCCTGAATATAATATTTCAGTGAGAGGGCAATTTTCCGGCAATTTATTGGAGCCTCGAAATTAATCATTTTTAATTTTAAAATTATTCATTTTCATGGGCACTTATCAGGGTAACCTGGATTGTAAAAGACATCATTTTCATCGCGTTGTACTCAACCAGTTTCTTTAGTTTCCTTACTTTGTTCCCAATTTCCGCTTTCGGAAGAATAAATGAGTGGGAGTTACCCCTGGCCGCTGCCCGACCCTCTTTCTCGGTACCGGATAGGCGTGACCATAAACTTACGGGATCGAAGACTAGCATCTGGCAGAGCAAGTGAACCGCCTCGTGAGTCGCCTGGCTGCTGAGGGTGTAGAGGGCAGTGAGGGAGGAGGGTTTCGGGGCGCGACTCAGCATGTGCGAGCGCGCACCCTCGCAGGCGTACCTCATGTCCTCCAAGCTCGGCGTGCCGAGGAGCTCCGTGATCAGCTCCAACTGCAAAGGAAATTCAATTCGCATCAACGATACGCCCGGTAACGCCGCCGATATTCGCAATCATGCCGACGACGAAAGCGCCGTCCAAAGCGAACTACTGGGTACTACATCGGCACATTGGATCTGATTGAGGGGGAATGCAATTATTCTTCTCGTCGTTATTGTCCACTCCAAAGTCTAACAGTTGGGCAAAAAGTAACCCTAACGACACTACTTTCAAACTTATTTTTATGTATTGAACTACTATCGGCCAGCCTCTCCACGCATCTCCGCACGTTTTCGTCAGATTTTGCAAATGGAACCGTGAAGTGTCGCAGGACTTTTTAATCAATCCGATATTTTGTTCCCACTCTATCGCGCGATGAGCAGGTCCGGTGATTCTTAGTTTTGAAGAGAATGTTTCGGGGGGATTTATATCGGTATGAATATGTCGGAGGTGGCGAAACGCGACGCCATCTTGGAAATAACGAGAGATGAGCATGGATACGAGTTCTTTTTAACCAATCCGATATTTTGTTCGCATTCTATCGCGCGATGAGCAGGTCCGGTGATTCTCAAGTTTGAAGAGAATGTTTCGGGGGAATTTATATCGATATGAATATATCGGAGGTGGCGAAGCGCGACGCCATCTTGGAAATAAAGAGAGATGAGCTTGGATACGAGTTCTTTTTAGCCAATTCGATATTTTGTTCGCACTATATCGCGCGATGAGCAGGTCTGGTGATTCTCAGTTTTGAAGAAGATGTTTCGAAGGAATTTATATCGGTATGAATATATCGGAGGTGGCGAAACGCGACGCCATCTTTGGAATAACGAAAGATGAGCATGTTCTTTGATATCCCTTTGATGGATCGCAGCGGATGAGTACTTATATAAATTGATTTATCCGAGCATTAGATAGGTCTGTGAAGTAGCTATCGGAAGGTGCACGTGTGCAACGCAGTCCGTGTAATTTATATCAATTGTACAGTTAGAGTGATCAACTGCAGTGGCAATTCGATTCGCATCAGCAGTACTCGTGCATTACTCGCGATACCCACGACTACAACAAACCGACGTCGACATAAACGCCACTCAAAACTAATTACGAAATACCGTACATATCCTATCCCGTTTATAGGTACTGCAGTTGTGCGTCGTATACTCTTATTTGTACTTAAAGTCAAACTCTGCTATTTTAATTACAATCTATCAAAGGACTATGAGTCGGAGCGTGGACGTCGCAGCTGACCAAACGCGACGCCATGTTGGAAACATCCAAGGATGAGTATGACTTTGATTACACGTTACTCTCTGCTTCTTTGTCGTTTTGCGGCGTATACATATGTATATTTATAAATTTATACACTCGTAGAACAAAACGTTCTGTACAGTAGTTGTCAGCCATGGTGAAGACGTGCAACTCCAGGTAATTTATATCAATTGTACTGTTAGAGCGTGCTTCCACCACCCTTCCAAGAGGTGTCCTAAGGAATTCAAAGTAACAACGAAGCTCCTTAGGTAATGTAAGCCCGGTTCATTGTCCCAAATGTTACGAATTACCTCTCTTCTAAATTACCTGTAGCACGGGCGTCTGGGCCTGGAAGAGGATTCGTCTACGTAGAAGTTCTCCGAAGATGCACCCCACGCTCCAGACGTCGACGGCTGCGGTGTAGTGTCTAGCGCCCATAAGTATTTCCGGTGCACGATAATATTGCGTGACAACCTCCTGCGTCATGTGTTTGTTCTGGTCCGGCTCTTCCACCCTTGCCAGTCCGAAGTCGCATATCTAAATAGATAAAGGAGTCCGTTGGATCGTTTGCGCTCCTAGAGAGGGAGGAAAGCTCCCGACGATCGGGGAACAAAAGCCACGAGGGTCTGGATGCTCCTCCGGGTCTTACCTTCAAGACGCAGTTGCTGTTCACCAGGAGGTTGCCCGGCTTGATGTCCCTGTGGAGGATTCTCGCCGAGTGGAGGTACTTCAGGCCTGGAAGAAAAACGATGACCTCGTTACGGCACTTTCATAAGGCTCGGTGGACGTGAGAAAATCTAACCGGTTGTTCCTGGCCCGAGCTTGGAGCACATCGACGATTAACCTCGGCGTAACGCCGTCGGAAATTAATAGTCGAGGCGCTTCCTCGAGCTTGGCACAGAACTGCCGGCATTATTTTATTCCAAGGTTGAACTACCCCCTCTGGTGGCAATCAATTAACTTCGATAAAAATCAACGTCGAAGGTGTTCCCCGAGCGTGAACGAAAATTACCGCCGTGTTATTTTGTTATAAATTATTACTGCGGGTAATTGAATGGACATTCAGTGGACATACCTCGTGCGAGAGGTTCTAGGTTGTACGGAACATCGCTGCCGTTTAAGACTTGACGCTCGGTCTTCAAATAAAGTTGTTTTTCCAATATACCCAAGTCGTACACGACTTAAAGCAGAGACGTCGTTCTAAATTTTAATATCAATAATTGTGTTTTTAATATTAATTTCTTTTTCATTCCGATAATTGCTGCAGGCCGTTCAAAACGCTAGTAATCATCAAGTCTCCGCCATGAAACCTTTGCAACCATCGTTGCGTTTTGCATTCGTTAACAGTTCCTGGACAAAATGCAACGTTGATATTGCTACGACAGTTGTGTTACAGCCTACTTTAAGCTTGTACATAAAAATTCCCGGAATTTGCTTCTTTCCCCGTTTCAATAAAATAGTCTAAAATCGAAAATAATTTTTAAAACACAATTACTGTTATCAGAATGTAAAGCGAAGTCTACACTTTAGGGTGGTCCGTATCATGGCCATAAAGAAAAAAAAACTTTAATTGAAAACAAAGCGTCAATTCTGAAACACTAAAAACCGCAATAACTTTCGGGACAACCTAACGTCCACAAAGGCTTTGATTTTCTACCGGTATTCACCGAATATGCATAAACCAAAGCTTTCCACGAATTTTTCTCTGAAGATATTAATTATGCACTTTTTCTTAACTTTCTTATAACCGCGCATTTGTCTTTCGGATCGACGAAACGTAAACGATCGATTTTCTCATAAATAGCGTGGGTATAGAAAGGTTAATATTTATAAGATAATGTAATGAGGATTGTCAGTGATTACGGTCTCGAAAAATTGAGGGCATCCACAATTGTACTCTGTGCACTTGGATCGCTTTATGCGTGGGTGCGTTCTGTATATCGGCCGTATTCAGAGCGGATTATCCGGCCTGCGTTCTGGAAGAGCATTCGACTGCGTGGCCCGAAATTCGAGTCCTACAACAGGGCGGTAATCCGACGTCTATTCAGTCGGCACCCCTTAGGATCCCCCATGCACCCGGGGAAGATACGAGAGAACACGTGGAAACGGCAGCCGCCTCATAGAAAAGACCCCGGGGGGCTGGAGAAGGGACAAGGCCGGTCCAACGAATTAGGGACCGCAGGATAGGAACCAATAAGACCGAAAATATATTGACACCATTGGCTCTTAAATAAGTTTTGCTAAAACTGGAAGGAAATTGGAAAGTTGTGCCGACAAAATTAAACGAACCGCACAAAGCGTGAATTTTAGTACGAAGTAGAGAAAAATGTACAATCAAGAGCAACCCAAACAATTTGTCGCAAACATAAAACAATTATGTATTTATTGGAAATACTGCACTCTCGATACATACCGATGACCATTAAACTCGCAACACTTATAAATAGCGGAGATAAATACGGGAAATTTTGTAAGAAGGGTTTACTACGTTAAAATAACAAATGATCAAGATTTCAGATGTTTTAAACGAGAAATGATATTTTAATCGCGTTCCAATGTCAGCGGTAGCAATTAAATCTGTAACTACGGTTAATTTCTTACATTCAACTGATGTTGCAATTTTAATGGCTACTGGTATATTTTCCTATTAAATGAACTTACACATTGAATCAACTATTGGTGTAACATGCTATTATCTTAGACAGTACTTCGAAGAGGTAAAATCATTGCGCCTCGGATTTTATTTTTAAACAATTCGTAGAGATTCGTCGCTCCGGAACGGACGAGGAAGAAGCGAGCAGCGTTGTAAATCCTCTCGGAAGAAGTAGTACAGAACGTTTTAATCGAAGTCGAGTTCCACCGTGGAGAGTACCCGGGAGAGAATCGCGCACCGCGCCATTATGCGTGTCCCCCGAGAACCCCCGAGATAAATTGCTTCTCTAGATTAATGTAATGGTGTGATTAATCGTGCGTCTCGTGCCGATTACGGCACTCGTAGGAGATTGAAACGTCCTGGAATACCTAAGATGTGCCTTAGCACGGTATCGACCGCGACCACACGAGTCGATCGACAAAGAACTGGAAAATTCGACTTGATTAATCGAAATAATAACGGAGTGGTCATACATTTAACAGAAATTCATCCATTTCGCGCCACCCTACGCTACGAATGATTTACGAGGTCAACAAAATCCATCAATGACTCATATTTCTTCTTCCAGCTACGTATAATATTTTCTACAATTTCTTATCAACTCTTTCTGGTACGGAGAAAAGTGAGTAAAGGAATCGTACGAAATATTTGTAGAAAAGGGTTACATCGTGTCGTTACGTCGGCGATGGCTAAAGGTAAAGAGTCGAAAAACGTGAATAAAAATGCAAGAACCTCTGATAGCAGTAAAACGATTACTCGGAAGAGTATTTTAAGGGGTCTGCGTATTCACCGACAGAAGTTTTCACCAGCTGTGAGAGCATCATGCCGGAGAGGATGCATTGACCTTGTGGTTAATTTTAAAACGCGACTCTAAGCGCCGGAGAGCACACATCGCGACATCGGCGTAAACAAAGAGCTTTGTATCGGTGTATTTTCGGCTGAGGCGAAATCGCCCGCGAAAATTCCGAGCTTCCGGTGATCGACCTCAGCGGCAGCGAAGTAATAACTGCAGCCAGCGAGAGCCACACAGTCAAAAGTACGAGCTTCAATTTCGCTCTAATTGGACAAAACTTGGGTATTCAATTTAATGCGGCACATTAGTGGCAGGTGTCGTGAAAATTCGTGTATCAGAATTCGAAGGCTTCGCTCGAAGCTTCGTCAAACGTCCGAAGCGAAAACGACTCGTGGGCTTCGCGCGCGGGGTAATTGCGAGGAGTAATTACAACATTAGACCCGACTTGGCGACTGGCCCGCGATCGATCGTCGCGGCGGAAATATCTCTCGGGACTCTTTTTTTTTCCAATTTGACGAACGAGGTCACCAGTCGAGAACAGGAAAAGGGGTTTCCTTTCTTACGCGCTCCCTCTTCCGCGGCCGACTTCGCGCGGGTCGCTACTCCTTGCGGCTCCTCGCAGTAGTGCGAGTCCGACTTGCGTCAGACGAACACCCTCGCCAGACGCTTCCTCGAGTGAAGCTCCACTTTGAAATTGATTCGCCTCTTTTTAAGAGGAAGAGAGGAAGAATATACCTATTAATGTTAGTAAGTCTTAAAAATACCCATTTTTTAGACAGGTACAGAGAAAAGAGCATTTACATTTTATGGGTTATTAACCATAGTTTTAGCACATATTGATGTGATTATTTATAATTTTTGTATAAAAACCGACTTACGTCAGACGAACATCCTCGCCAGACGCTCCACTTTGAAATTGATTTGCCTCTTTTTAAGAGGAAAAGAGGAAGAATATACCTATTAATATTAATAGGTCTTAAAAATACCCATTTTTTAGACAGGTACAGAGAAAAGAGCATTTACATTTTAAGGGTTATTAACCTTAGTTTTAGCACATATTGATGTAATTATTTATAATTTTTGTTTAAAAACCGACTTACGTCAGACGAACACCCTCGCCAGACGCTTCCTCGAGTGAAGCTCGACTTTGAAATTGATTTCCCTCTTTTTAAGAGGGAGAGAGGAAGAATATTCCTATTAATCTTAATAGGTCTTAAAAATACCAATTTTTTAGACAGGTACAGAAAAAAGAGCATTTACATTTTAAGGGTTATTAATCATAGTTTTAGCACATATTGATGTGATTATTTATAATTTTTGTATAAAAACATCCTTGGGTCACCTCACCAAACACGATTACGTAAGAATAATATAACCGTTACGTAACGTTTGTAACATGTAATGTAACAAACATGTAATGTATGAGTAAGATTTGTATTATTATTTTCTATGCAGCTATATAACACTGTTGTAGAACGAATTATGTAACGTATATGTAACACATCGGTAATATGTTATGCTACGTTAATATTATATAACTGCAATGCGAACAAGCTTGTAACAATGTTACCGAATGGTTATAATTCGACGTTATATGATATTAATGTAGGTTTTGAATAACATTCGTTATATATCATGTTATTCCAGTGTTTTGCAACTGTAACATAGTGTGCTTGGTGGGATGATACATTGTAAAGAACCGTATTTTTGTGTGTATCCTTATTTGTCGTAATCTTTTGGGTAGACCGATCGTTCCAGAGTATTCCGACTTTAGATAGCGGATCATGATGAGTATCTGCTCAGAAATTACCATTTTAATTCGCTAATCCGATAGCATTCGCTAATTTTAAAGTCATTATTTAGAAATTTATGAAAAAACTGAAAAATAATATTAATGGTTAATGGATCATGATGAGTATCTGCTCAGAAATTACCATTTTAATTCGCTAATCCGATAGCATTCGCTAATTTTAAAGTCATTATTTAGAAATACATGAAAAAACTGGAAAATAATATTAATGGTCAACTATAATTTTGAGTAATCCTGCATCTGTATAGTTATCAGGGGTCATTTCTATTGCCATATATTCTATCAACATGTGTGTACAATATGAACTAAATGGAACAAGAACTTTTCGATATCCTGCGACGAAGCATAAAAAATGGCAAACAATTTTAATGTCTGGGTTCATTTTTCTTATCTATCTGAAAAATTAATATTTTTAACATTCAATAGGTATGAGCCCCATTAGGTTATACGAAATGCGTTGAAGTAGTTAGATCTACGGG